TTTTTGAATCACGGGATCACATAAAAGCATCTGAAGGCAGTAAACCTTCTTGTTATTTCCATCTTATTCCTTAGCGAGCTTAACTGTTTTCACATTTATGAATGATTTTAAATTGAAATGCATTTTACCCCCGGCATTTTTCATCCCAGACATTCATTCTTGTTAATGTTGCCAAAGTGAGGAGATAATCTTGGGGAACATTTCTAATGTTTCCTACAATATCATGTTCTCTTATGGTATGGCCGTGTGTCTCCTGCCAAGTGAAACAGTCTTTCATACAAGGGAGGTGGTCTAGGAAAGAAACGAAGGAAGAAGCCATCTGCTTAAAAATGAATTTTTTTAAAACGGACATTGATCAAATATATATGGCCTAGTAAGTGCGTAGGGAATTTCCTTTGTGAGGGACTAGAAAGACTGAGTAGTTGGGAAGGAGGGTGGGCAGCCACACATGGGCTCCTTCATTGTGACTGTGTCACCCTTGCCCATGGGCCCAAGCTCCTCCTGCCTTTACCGCAAGACCTGATGTGAGTGGCGAGGCCACTGGGCTCCAGCTCAGCGTTCAGCAGGGACCGAAAATGCAGGGAATGCAAATGTTTGTTTGATTGATGGTTTAATTAACCAGTCTCCTCCCTGTCTGACGTCACCCCCCTCCCCCGCCAAGAAAAACCTACTTTTGTTTTTCAGAGACATTTTAGCTATAGCAATTCTTTTTCTTCAGATTTTTCCTGTTTCCTCCCTGGTGCCTGCCTTCTTCTAAAATATCCAAATATGTTCATTTTTTCTAAGGAATGCCAAAACAAATATTACGTAAATTAAAATTTTCCCTATTAATTTTATTTACCACTATTGTCTCTAAACCCCAGTGTTCATTTATTTATATACAGGAATGCATACATGCTTGCGCACATACATACCAAACAATATGTATATTTTTCTCTCCATGGTCTTAAAATATCTGGGAATATTAGTTTAGTCAGGTTCTTCCAGAAGTTCTCTGGAACTATTTTGAAACACAACTGATGCCTGGAAACTGATTAACCCAAGGGTGTTCAGATCTCCAGGGTTATCCTGCAACCCTCTGTACCTTTGTTACATCAAATTGGTGTCCTTGAACTTCTAGAGACACCTAACCAAGTTCTGTAGGATTTTAAGGTAAGGTGGTGGGTATAGGCTGGACAGTGGCCAGACTACATCCTTGAAAGCATGTTTCGAGGCTCTCCCTGTGCATCAGGCACTCTGCTTATGTTTTCTCATTTAGGCCTTGTAACAATCCTGTGAGGTAAGCATCATCAGATCTTTTTACCTACAAGGAAGTTGAGGCTTAGGGAAGTTGCGCTAGTTTGGTCAGAGACGAAATTTCACATTTAAAGGAGGAAGACCCCTTATCGTCTGGGCCTAGGACTCACAAGACACCAGTAAAGCAAGAACAAGCCATAATACTGTCTCTGAGTGCTGCCTAGGTCAATGGGAAAGAAAGGGAAAGCTGTATAATCCAAGAGGGGCATTAAGGGTTTCAGCTTCGCATCATTTGAGGCCAGATACACTGCATGCTGAAGTGGGAGAGGGTGTGTATGCCTTTTTCCAGTAATCTGCAGGTTGTCAGAGAAACTGGGTCTTCCCTCATCTGGTGAGGGGTGTCTTAGTGTTGCAACAGCAGTGACACAGACAGCAAGCTGTCCTGTTGCCTCAGGCTGTCATGGAGAGCCAGTTGGGTGCTCTTTATCTCTGGGGCCAATTAAGTGAAGTCTAGACTTTTCCTGAGAGTTGCCAGGTATTCAGGGACTGGGCTACTGAGCACGAACAACTCCCCCTAAAATCAAAATATAGATACAGATTTTTAAAAACCAGTCATGCGCTCACATGTCAAACATATTTGCACTTAAATTCAGATCCTGCGTTACAGTCTAGGTGTATCATCTTGCTTTATATTTAAGGCCCAAGGGCTTCAGCTTTAAATTAGGAGACAACGTGAGTCGCAGGTACCCAAAAAGAGTTGTCCTAGAGACCCCTAGCAATAGAGAGATGAAGTAACATCCCCAGAATCAGAATACAAATTCACCACTTTGTGTGGGTTTTTCCCCATCACCTTAATGTACCACTACTAGTCCTTCTGCTAGAAGAGTTATCTAGAGAGGTGGTGGTCTCTCTGCTACAGTAAGTAGCCTTGTGGGAGAGAAGAGAAGAAATAGGTGGTAGAAGCACTAAATTGAAGGCGTGGGCCATTGGATGTTTCTCATCTGTTTGTTGCATTCTGTTGTTACATGATTTTAGTTATTTTATGTTGTCTTTGTTTTGTTAGTCTGTTTTTACTCCTGTAGGGTGAACGCATTCAGTTGACCTGCAAGGTAGCTGAAGGCACCTTATGTTTGAACATTCTATTTGAGGTTGAAGGAGGGGAAAGAATTCAGGTACAGTTGATTGTTGAAGGGCCTTTTGCAGTTCCCACTTTCCTAAAAGAGAACATCCTTCTTCCTCAGCTACCATTAACCTTTATTTAGAACAGAGTAAATCACTGGACTCAAAATTTATGTTGTACACTAAAGTCTGCTGGTAAACAATTTGTCTTTACACTTTCATTATTCAAAGTGTAAATGCAGTGCCCTGGAACAATTTCACATTCTTATTGATGGCTTCTCACTGACCCAAAGTCCTCTGTGTAACCCAAAGTCCTTTATTGTGTAACGCTGTGTAACGCTGTGTAACGCTGTGGTTACTCAGCTCACCTCTGCCTCTTACAGAAGCATGAGTCACCAGTTGCTGAAAACTTCCCCAGTTTTTCTGAGGATCAAATAATGGATTAGATTATGAGTGGTGGTGTTTCTTTTTTTTTCCTTTTGTACTTAGAAAAGACGTATTCTTCAGGGATTCCGTTTCACCAGTTCAGCTTTTTGCATTCTCTTTTAAGTTATGGTTTTATACCATTCTTAAGGCTAGGGTGAAGGAAGAAGAGGATGAGATGTTTGACCTTGAAGATCTGGCATTCAGATCTTTGCTGTCCTCCTCTTATGCTGAAATAAAGCGGGGTGGGGGGCAGTGGTAGGGCAGGGGGACAGAAGAGAGCCAGACTCTCAGGGGGGCAGAAGCTTGGGTCCTGGTAATGAGAGTTAATGAAACTCTCTGCCCACCTCACCTCACTTGCCAGGCACACCTGGCAAACTCCTGCATTAAATACCCCGGGACTCTGAAATGATCAGGGCATCTCTGGAAGCCCCAGCCTTGATCTGAGCAAGTGAAGAGTACACCTATGGAAGAAGTCATTAAGAGCTAAATGTCTGTTCTTATCTAGAGCTGGGTTGAAGGTAGGATCTGGCTCTAATGTATTCCCCATATTCAGAGGTTCAGGATAGCTACCACTGTTCTCCAACTGAGAAAGTGGAAGACCAGGTAAGGAGTAACATAGATGGTGCTGTGTGAGACCCCATCTGGCCTCAGAAACTGCCAGGTTTGAGATATCTGGGGAGAAAAGACCAGGCAAGGAGAATAATGAGGACTGTGCTTACTGATACAAGTCTAGAGAGCCAGGCCTTCTCTGACTTTCTCCTTGTAGGTACAAGGATCATGCAACAGGTAAAGGCCCTCAGCTTATGGACAAGGTGGGCTCTTTGGACCTTGAAACTCTCCTGCCACCTTTAGAGGAGGGAGAGTGAAATAAAGTTTAGAGCACATCTTTCTCTATCCTTAAAGGGCCTTGGGGAGTCCCATCATTTTGTCTGTTGTCAACTCAGTCCTAGACAAAGTCTGGACTAGAATTCTCAAGACATTAGCATCAAGTCCTCTAAATAGAACTAGGACTCAATACTCTGAATCATAATAAGACCTGTAGTTTAGAACTAGGGTCTGCCTGTGGGCCTACTTGTATAGGGACAGCAAGAATTTCTTTCATAAGATCCAATATTTGTTCTAGACTAAGAATTTCTTCTTCTTATCCTATAGCTATTACCACTTTTACTACAAATATCCCATGTGGCATTTTGGATGGGCAGGCCTACTGTTGGAAGCTTTGGTTTCAGGGGACAAAAAGCAAGCTCTAGATAGCCCTAAGTAAAGTGGAAAAGTAGATGGCTTTCTCACGATCCACCCACTTGTTTTATCAATATCCATCTGCTGTCTTATGAGGGGTTGCTAATCTTCATCTCAGCTACCAGTATTGAGCATTACTGTATGCCAGGCTATTTATATGCCCCATATCAGTTCTGTGAGTTCTATTTTTTTCCTCATTTCACATGTGAGGAAAGATGACATTGAGGCTTACAGGGTGATGTAACCCACTGGCAGTCACAGAGCCAGGAAGAGGCAGAGCTGGGACTTGCTCCCAGGCGTGTGCTTATCATTTCCCACCCCTGCTAAGACCACCCTTCAAAGATAAAAGAATCTGCTGCTTATTCTCAGCTAAGATGTTAAGTGACTATTGAGGTGTTTATGTGCCAAGCAGCTAAAACTGACTCTGAGCACTTTGCCTTTGCCTCTGCAGATATTTCTATTTTAAAAAAGACTCAAAGACAAAAAATCCATAGAGGTGGAACAACGGAATAGTGTTATTAGGAAGGCAGGGGCTACCGAAGATTCCTCAAATTGCTGCAGAACAGCAGCTCTAAGCCGAGCATTCCACAACACAGCCCTGTGCACATCAGACACTTAACTATAATCTGATTAAAACTCAGTTAATGTTCTCATTACATGCATGTAAGAAGAACACAAGGAAAGCTGCTTTGGTTAACTTTAGTTTCTCCTGTTGACAAAGCATCAGCTTTAGCCACCAACTCCATATATGTGCCTGGAAATTTGAAACGCCTGCTGTTCCTAGGTCAGGATTTTGGTTTAGGTTTTATACGACACTTGGGTTTATACTTTAAGAAAAATGAGAAAATGTCCTTTAAAAAGTTCATGGAAAATAACATATGGCTTTACTTGGAATTGATCAGATATAATGGTGAGCTTGTCCTGTTTTCGAAATACCTTTATGATGTTTTTGTCTTGTTTGCCCTTGATCACAATTTCAGTGCAAACATACTTCTGGATGATCAGTTTCAACCCAAACTAACTGATTTTGCCATGGCACACATCCGACCCCACCTAGAACCTCAGAGCTCTGTCCTAAGCATGACCAGCAGCAGCAGTAAGCATTTGTGGTACATGCCAGAAGAGTATATCAGACAGGGCAAACTTTCTGTTAAAACAGATGTCTACAGCTTTGGAATTGTAAGTACCAACTACCAGTTAACAAAGTAGAAGAGTTTGTTGCCAAGAATACACTAAATTCCAAGAATTATTTTAAAGGCTTTAGCTTTTAGACCTATTGATTTTCTGTTACTCATTGTCTTATACATTAATTTTGTATAATCAATCAAGTAATGAAATGTAAAGTCATTAATTAGAATGAACTGTATTCAGCATTGAGGTTAATAGTCATGACTAATTATGTGTATATATTTAATATTTGTAATATTTTAATAATATTTATAATAATTTAGTAATTATTACTATGTGTATAATATTAATATTACGTAGTTGACTTTCTATATGTTCCTTGTAGGTAATAATGGAAGTTCTGACAGGTTGTAAAGTGGTGTTAGATGAGCCAAAGCATATCCAGCTGGTAAGAATTGTCTTCATCTCTGCCTATTTCTTGGTCACTTTTTGGATAGATTCTGAGTTCTCAGTGATGAGTTTGTCTCCTTTTCTTCCTAGAGGGATCTCCTTATAGAATTGCTGGAGAAGAGAGGCCTCGATTCATGTATCTCATTTCTAGATAAGAAAGTACATCCCTGTCCTCGGAATTTTTCCGCCAAGCTGTTCCCTTTGGCAGGCCAGTGTGCTGCAACACGGGCAAAATTAAGACCCTCGATGGATGAAGTACGTATACCCACGGTTTTATTAAAAACCGAGTCCATGGAACCATGGAAAATCTAAATTGGATAAATTGTGTATCTTTGTGAATATCAATGAGACAAATGCAGCTCTCAACAGAGAATTCTCACCTAATAGATAGCTTTTCCAGCTCAGAAAGTCTCATCGTTTGGTACTCTGAAAGAGGGTATTACTGGGTGGGACCAGGGCAACCACAAAAAATTTAATGAAAAGACATGTGACTAATTTGGAGAGAATATTTTATTCAACGTTCGTGAAGAGATCTGGTCCATTAAGAATGAAGCATACGGGAATTCCCTGGTGGTCCAGTGGTTAGGACTCAGTGCTTTCACTGCCAGGGCCTGGGTTCAAACCCTGGTTGGGGAACTAAGATTCCACATGCTGCGTGGTGTGGCCAAATTTTTTAAAAAATGCATCATGTATTTCCCTTATTGATTTTTTAATTTACTCATCTGTCCATCAATTTAATCATCTAGACGTTTATTTGTTTACAATAAACAAATATTTAGTACCTGCTTTGCACGTACCAGACTTTGGACTAGGTGCTGGTGATACAACAGTGATCAAGGTACTGAATTGCTGCCCTTCAGCTCACAGTTCAAAGGGAGAGTCAGATCTATAAACATGAAGTTTCGGTACCAGAAGATAAGCATGATGATAGATGGGAGCGTAGAGTCAGAATACGTCCCAGCCTATGAAGTCAAGGAAGCTTCTTGATGGAGGTGATAGCTGAGCTGTGATCTGAAGAACAGGTTGGATTTAGGTATTAAAGATGGAAGGACATTCCAGGGAGAGAATCTACACCTGCAAAGGCTCAGAGGTGCAGTGGATTCCTTGGCACCAAGACTGCAGATTGTCTAGCACCATGGAAGTGGGATGGTGGAGAGCAAAAGCTGGACGTGTTTAAAATAATAGGAGGTTCCAGGTGATCGAGGGACGTGAATTCCATTCTAAGAATTTGGATTCCATCCTAAGTCTATTGTAGAGCCATGGAAGGGTTTTAAACAAGGAGTTGACATAATCAGAATATAAAGACCATTGGCCTGGGAGTCAGGAGAGCTGTGTTCTAGGCCTGACACCACAAGTAAGAGCTGTGTGGCCTGCAATCTTGGGCCCGGAAAGGAGCTTTGAGATATATAGTGGAGGGAACGTGAAATTGGGAGCCGGAAGACGTGGGGTCAGGCAACAGGTCTGCTCCTTACTGGCCAGCGATAGCGATTCCCTTTTCTGAGCCTCAGCCTTTTCATCTATAAAGTGAGGGTATTAACGTTTGTGCAGGTTAAATGAGGTGATGTGTGTGAAAACACTTTGTAAATTATAAAGCTCTCTATAGGTATTTTTTAAATTACGTGTGTGTGTAAATGTATGTTATTTTATATCAGGTTAATGGTTCTCAATTCAGCTGCATATCCAATTCAGCTGCATATCCAAATCAACTGCAAAGCTTGTAAAATACAGATCCCTGGGCCCCCATGTCCATATTTTTTGAATGACCATCTTTAGGTTGGGGCTAAGGGATCTGTTTTTTAAGAAAGCTTCCCTAGGTAGTCTGGCATTTGAGAACTATAGATTGGGTTCACCATCCCCTGACCCCTTCCAATCCTCCACATATTAAGGCTGAAGTAAAAAATGATAAGAGATTCATCCAAGGTCACAAAGTAGTTGGTGGCAAATCTAGGCATAAAGTCAGGTCTCTTGATAATCAATTTCTTTTCTACTTTGCTTCAAGTCACTTAATTTATTAACATGAAGGAGTTTAGCTAATCTTTAATTCCTTCGCATTTCAAATTCTATAGTTGAATTTATTTCATGAAAATAAGAGAATATTCCTTAATAGGTAGACAGAAAAAAAAGGTAAAAGGAGAGGTTATTCAGACTTCACCCAATGTGTGTTGGCTTCTTGGTTAATCAGGTCCTAACTGTTCTTGAAAGTACTCAAGCCAGCTTGTATTTTGCGGAAGATCCTCCCACATCCTTGAAGTCCTTCAGGAGTCCTTCTCCTCTGTTCTTCGATAATGTACCAAGTATTCCAGTGGAAGACGATGAAAACCAGAATAATCCATCGCTGCCTCACGATAAAGGTTGGAGAAAAGGGAGAACGACTCAGAAAACTCCCTTTGAATGCAGCCAGTCTGAGGTTACATTCCTGGGCTTTGACAGAAAGACAGGGAGTGGGAGGAATGAGGACACTAGCAATGTGCCCAGTTCTGCTTGTGAAGAAAGTTGGTCTCCAAAGCCTGCAGCTCCATCCCAGGATGTGAGGGCCTCTGGTGTGAATAGGGACCCTTCTGCGGAAGTTCCAGGGCATTCCTACAGGAGCATGCCAGTGGAGGCCAGCTGTTCCTCTGAATTTTCCTGGAATGAATGTGAACAGTGCAAAAAGGCATCAGTTTCACCAGAAGATAAAGAAGAAAGCAAGTATTGCTGAGGCACCTGAGTACAGGTCTCATCCTGGGAAGACATTGTCTTTATTGGGAGCGCCAAGAGGATGATTGATGGTGAACTTGGGTAATGCAGATCAATGATCGGAACAATTCTATTCCATTCCTTCCAACTTGTAGAACAGAGTGGCTTAAAGTTTTGTTTTAGCACGATCATTGCCTCATGATCAAACCTGGACTAAATTAGAACCATTCAGAATTACTTAAGATTGTAGACTGTGACTTCAGACCAACAAAACAATCAAAACCTACCAAAATGGAAGTGGATTCCAGTGTCTTCTCCCTCAGCATCCACGTGACTCCTCAGAGCCTCCAGTCTGCCAAGTACATTCAGTTCAGTTGGATTCCATCGTTTTGGTTTAGCTTGCTTGCGAAGGTCGTCAGAAACGTCTAACTTGTAAATGTTAATAGATACCATACCTTTTTAAAGAATTGCCTTTTTGCTTATTTCAATCAACTCTTAGTATATTTCTGTTCATCCCTGTCAAGTCTGCCTATCTGAACATGAGCCATGACATGCCCAAGATCTGTATTTCTGTATTTAAACTCTTAAGATAGTTTATCTCCTATAATATTGACTATTATTACAATTTTTTTTACATAGAGACTATTATATCCTGAATAGAATGTATGAAATTTTAATCAAGCCATTTTTGTTCCAAGAAAATGGCTGGTCATAAAGGCCTAGGTCAGTTTTTTCTTTGTTTCCAACTCTGTGCCTTTACTGCTGGTGTTTACTAGATCTCCCCCTTTTGAAATCCTACCCAGTCTTTCAGGGCCCACCATAACTGTCATCCTCCAGGAAGCTTTCCTAATCTTTCCAGCCAATAGTAATCACTTTATCAGCATTTCCATAGCAATTTCTTTTTTTTTTCCATTTTTAAAGATTTTTAATTGAAGTACAGTTGATTTACAGTGTTGTGTTAGTTTCTGGTGTACAGCAAAATGATTCAGTTAGACGCATATATACATATTCTTTTTCATGTTCTTTTCCATTATGGTTTATTACAGAAAATTGAATATAGTTCCCTGTGCTATTCAGTAGGACCTTGTTGTTTATTTTATATATAGTAGTTCGTATCGGCTAATCCCAAACTCCTAATTGACCCCCCCTTTCCCCTTTGATAACAATGTTTGTTTTCTGTGTCTGTGAATCTGTTTATGTTTTGTAAATAAGTTCATTTGTATCATCTGTAGCAATGTCTCTGTATTTCTGTTTTATATTTGTCACTTTCTGAATTATATCCAAGTTGCCTGTGCTATCATATCTCTCTTCCTAGATGGTAAACTCCTGTATTAGTTTCCTACTGTCGCTGTAACAAATTATCACAAGCTTAGTGGCTTAAAACAACATAAATTAATTATTTTACAGTTCTAGAGGTCAGAAGTCCTTGGCATTCCTTCTGAAGGCTCTAGGGGAGAATTCGTTCCCTTGCCTTTTCTAGCTTCTAGACACTGTATGCATTCTTTGGTTCATGGCTTCTTCCTCTATCCTCAAAGCCAGCAACATGACATCTTTAAATCTAGATCTCTCTCTGAACTCTTTTTCATCACCACTTCCTCTTTCTTTGGCCCTCCAAAGGATCCTTGTGATTGCATGGGGCCCACTCAGATAATACAGGAAAACCTCTGCATCTTAAGAGCCTTAATTTAATCACACCTGCAATGTCCCTTTTCTCCTCTAAAGTCATATATTCACAGGTTTCTGGAATTAGGACATGGACATCTTTGGGGCCATTCCTCTGTCTGTCACATTCCCTGACTGTGTAGGGTCCATCTCTTCAGGGCCTAGCATGTTATCCTATACAGAGCAGGTGTTTCCTTATAAGTTAAATTGAGTTACATTATCTCTGTGAACCCACATAATCAAAAATTCAGCTATAATAAACATTCCGGAGTAAATGAACAAAGTGGGGATAATGACTGTCTTTATGATGATGGACAGAAACACTCCACGAAAACCATTTCCAGAGGATTTACAGAATCTCCCTCTCCAGGATGTTTATAATAAAAGGGCAGACCTCAAGGAATAGGCCTATGATTGTTTTTTGTAGGTTTTTTTTTTTTTTGATAAGTCAGTACGGTTGAGTTAATCATAGTCAGATTGGAGTCCAGATTCAAGAACAATTAATCAAAGAAGGAAGTCGTCAGAAATCAGGGTCAGGTTAACAGACCAAGGTCAGAAACATGGAGCTACAATTCTGGGAAAAAGGATCTCATGGCAGGAAGTGAGGTTCAAAACACAATAAGCCTTAGCCTGATTGACAAGCCAAATAAAAGCCCCAGGCAAGCAGTTGGGAGAGGCCATCCCTGAGGGCTGGTCTGGGGGGACCTGGCTGCCCAGTGATGTCTTCCCCATCTGAGCATGAAGAATGTGTTCACGGTGCTCCCAAACTGCCCATATGCTAAGACTATCAGGGGAAAGGGTTGCCCTAGACTCATGTGATTTTACCTCTTGTGACCTGTCCGGTTTGAAAACTCTTGATTATACACGTTAATCAAGGAATCAGTAAAAGTCTTCAACATTTGGCCTTATATATCGCCAGCCATTCTGAGGCCGATTCAGCTTGTCTTATGTAGTCTGAAAGTATTTTGGCTGAATCGGGCAAATAAGCCTAGAATTGTGTGAAGTTGCCACTAATAATTCAAACGAGGTAATCAAGATAATCAAGAACTGACTCTGTGTTAAACTGCTTTTCACTTTGAATCCGAATCCCCCAGTACCTTCAAAGAGAGATCATTAAGGAAGCTCTGATTGACAGCAGGCCCACACCATTATTCATCACATGTGTAATCCGTTGGTATGATGTTGATTTGAACTTGCTTAGTTGACTTAAAGCAGTGTTTCTCAAAAAAAAAAAAAAAAACAAAAACAAACAGTGTTTCTCAAACTTTAACATGCAGCAAAATGACATGGAAGGCTTGTTAAAAACACAGATTGCTAGCTCCCAACCTATTCCATGGGATTTTGCTTAGCACTGAGTAGAAGCTCTAGAAATACTATTAGTCAATGATCTTTTTAACTAGATCACCTTGCTAGGGTGTGACTATTTTAGACATCTTAAAGACCAAGTCAGATTAGCTGGCAATAACCTAATTAATGATATGGTAAGCAGATACCACTGTGGCTAGAAATTACCAGAATTTTCTATTGAGTGATGCAGTCCTTACTAGATTTGCCTTCTAGTGGGTGCGTTAATAAATGTTAACTGTTAGGAATTAAATCTTGCATCCTGCTACAGGCAATAAGAGGATACCTTTGTGGCTTCATGATGTAAAGACTAAGACACATGAAGAAACCAATAATGAGCCCCCAAGTGTTTCCTCTGATCAGCAAACGTGAATTAGTAAAGAATTTCACTCGTCTTCATCCTTATAACGCACCATGGGCAATCCTCCAGGCAGATCCTATTTACTTGATAGGTTTTTGTGCCATTTTACAATCCCCAAAACATGAAGAAAGTATTTTGTTGTTTTTGAAATTAGGTATGGGATTTCTGACGTAGTCAATTTTATTGGCTTCCGGAGAATTGTTATGACGATCTGTGACCCACTGCATAATTGTGAAGTTTCATAAGGTGGTACATCCTCTTGTGTAAAACAGCTTTTATGACCTGAGGTATGATGAGTCTAGGAAGTGAGGGTTATGTGAGTAGCATTTATGAAGAATCAAGGCACTGTGTTAGCTACTAGGGTACCAAGTAAGGAGCAAACATTTTAGAAAGGACGAAAAGGCATCTACCCAAGTTAACTGTTCAGTGACATCTGTTATTTGAACCATAAACTATTGGAACCGAAAGTAGGGGCTGAAAGGGTGAGGAAGAGGTCTTACCCTTTTTACTGTGCACTTTCGAGAGGGCGAGGAAGGTGTCTTGGAGAAGCTTCCTGGAAAGAGAGAAGGGGTTAAGAGAAATAGAAAAGAACACCCAAGAAGCACTCCAGGATGGATACCCAGGGAACCAGGGGTCCACAGCTCTACCAGACCTCTGCACAGCCCCATCTCTGGGGCTGGAAGGATGGGGTGAGGGCAAAGGGAACCGGGTCCAGAGCTGTGGGTGTTTTTTTCCATTTAACCTTTACAGCCACCGTGAAGGTATGAATCCCATTTTATAGATGAGGAAACTGACTCAGGGTGGGTATGTAACTTGCCTAAGGTCGTCCCAGATCTGGAGGAGCCAGGATTTGAACCCACCTCTGTCAGACTTCAAAGCCCATGGGCTTTCTTGTACTCGACATGACACAAAGAAGCCACTGCAGATTCAAGCCCCTATGCAAAGGTCATTTGTCGATTCTAAAACTTTTCAGTAGGGACAGAAGCCTCACCATGTTTCCTGCCTTTTTCATTATTCTGTTCCTCTGCTTCAGGCACCCACCTCTGCAGTCATTTGATATGAGTTCAGTGAATTCATTCATTCATTGAATAAATATTTACCGATGGCCTCCTTTGTGTCAGACACTGTTCTAAGAGCTGGGGATACAGTGAAGATCAAAACCAACAAAAATCCCTGCCTTCATGGAACTTACATTTGAGTGAAAAATGAGTGAGTGGATGAACAGGAAATACTGTGGGAGAGTTGTAATCTCAGTTCTATCACTAACCAGCAGATCTCCGTGGGACCAGCCAAACTGAGTCGTCTCAAAAAAGAGTCTTCTCCAGACATAGACCCTGGCTTCTCTGCCAGCTCTTTTGTCAGGATTCAGAGAGGTTTTCTCCTTGTCCTGTGGTATAGCTCATGTCTCCACGCTAGCCTGTGGCTTCGCTGTTAGTGTCTATGGCATACTTTGTGGCAATCATGACAGCACTTCTTCCACTGACCTATGACTTCTTCAGGGCATTCATTGGGCTACTGATGCCATCTTCAGCAGGCTTCTGCTAAGAAATTTGAAGCATCTACACATGCCTCACTGCACCATCACCCCAAGCTGGAACTGCCTGTTGACTTCTCTCTCCTCCATAAAACTGAAACTTCCGTGAGGGCAGAGGCTATATCTTGCTCCTTTGGTATCCCTAACAGCTAGCACAGTACCTGGCACATACTACGGCCCAACGAACATTTGTAAAATGAATGAATTGAATAATCCTTCAAAACCTCTTCAGAATCATTGGTATCTAGTGTCTCAACACGGTCATCTAGATTGCACCCAAAGTCTGTCTTTCTAATATCCAGACTGTCACCAATCATTTGCTTAAAGGGTTCCATTTCACCATTCTTGGATGAAAGTTATGAATTTCAAATATTAATCTCTGTGATATCTTTGAAAAGAGGAATTAGAAATTGTATATGTTGCTTATAAATTTGCTTCACGGTGAAAAACATTCCCAAACCGTGTCTACGCAATGATAAGCCAACATTTTGACAGGGAATAAACTGATGTTTGTTGTATTTTGCTTCCATCTTTCTGTCCCAAATTATTTATGTGTATTTGATGGTCCATTAGATTTTATTGCAGGTATTTCCTTGGGAGGCATTTTTATTCCAAAGATGCCTACCAAACCTGCATTACCCACCACACTTTCACTTAAGAGCCTTCTTACTGATGTCATCTGCCTAATTGCAAATTTTTGTGGTCATCTGTATAAGTAGCAAGAGAGTATTTCCAATGTTTTTCAGTGGCTCCTTAGTTTTAAAACTTTCTTATAGACAAATGTTAGTTGGGATAGAGGGTAGGAAGGTAGGAAGAGTGTACTTGCAGGAGATTCAGACTCAGTTAATATTGGTGTATTTAGTACTATGCTAGCTGCATTCACACATCATCTAAGCTATTGAGCTGGGTTCTGTTACTATAAGATCAAGGAAAATGAGGTTCCAAGAAGTTGACTCTCATTCTGAGTCACACTGATGGGGATGCAAACTGAAAATTCTTTATTTAAGCCCAGGAAATACCTGCTCTGAAAAGGAGTAAATTAAAAAATTAAAAGTATCCCCTATTTGAAAATGAAAACAGCTAATAAATATGTTTTTATTATTTTTAATTATTATTAATTTTGTCCTCACAGATGGGCAAAGATTAAAACAATTGACAGGAGTATGGGCAAATGGGTATTCTTATTCACTATTGGCAGGAGTGGAGATTAGTACAGCCTTTCTAGAAGGTAGTATGTCAAAATTTTAAATGGTGAGACACTTTTACCCAGCAATTTGTTTAGGAATTTATCCTAATGAATAAAAGTTTCACAAGTGTGTAAACATGAGGGCAAAGATGTACTTTTTAGTGTTTGCATATTAAAATATTGGAAACAGCCTAAATATCTTTCCATAGAAGATGGGTTAAATAAATTACAGCACAAATATACAATTGAGTTGTATGCAACTAATTAAAAATTGTTTAGATCTGTGTTTATTGCTATAGAAAATTTGTCCCTGAAATATTATTGAATGAGAAAGCAGACTACCGAATAGTATGTTTAATATGGGCCCATTTATAACATTAGATATTTTTAAATAATATGTGTTTCATAGAGAAATCTTCGCTAAGAAGTTAATGATGGTTTCTTTCTGGGCTGTGGCGTTTGGGTGCTCTTTACTTTCTTTAGACGTTTATGTATTTGAAGTTTTTATAATGAGTATGTATCACTTTTATTATCAGAAAACAATAAAGCTATTTTTATTTTGGAAAAAAATGTTCTCTAGATTTCTACGTTTGCCTGACTCTTCGCTCAGCTGTGCCCTCGGTAACAACTGGCAACTGGTAATAACGCTTTTATTCCAATGCCCTTTATTATTTTTGTCTTCCAACCCTAGTGACTGACGCTCCCACGTAGATTTGTCTGGTATCCCCCGAGTAACAAGTTTTGAGAGGGCTTATAAAAGAAAAGTCCAAGAGGCAAAAACCAGACAAGCTGAAATACAGAAGAATGGAGAAGAGATCACAGTACACAACTGAGAATATCTGTAATTAAATATTAGTTGATTTTGGCAAAATCTTTAAAAGTTACCCTTAAGATCTATACTTGTTTCAAGTACTTCAAGAAGCAACCTACAGTTAAATTAGGGCTTCCCTGGTGGCGCAGTGGTTGAGAGTCCGCCTGCCGATGCAGGGGACACGGGTTCGTGCCCCGGTCCAGGAGGCCCACGTACCGTGAAAAAAAAAAAACCCCAAAACAAAAAAAAAAAAACACAAAAAAAGAAGCAACCTACAGTTAAATTAAAGATCTTTGGGGAGATAAATTTTTCACCCTTAAGTATCCATACCCCAGACTTGTGCCCCACTATCCGTTTCTAGCCTACACAAAAATTTTAACTTGCTGAATTTAGTAGACTCTGGTTATCGTTATCAACTGAAAATAAAACTTGCAACAGTGCAGAGAAAGAATGGCTGACTACCGTGCTTTTCTCCAGCAGGTAGAGGTGGAGGCTATATAACAATGCTAACGGGATCCACAATAACACATGAATTATAAAGGGAAAAAGCAAAGTATACACTAGGGTAAAATACCAATTCTGATGAGCTCTATCTGGGACTGTTGTGGACATAACGAAGTTATGGAGTGTGTAAATATAAAAACACTTCCTAGGCAAATCCAGCTGAAAGATAAATGAATGTTGGCTTCTTAAGAGCATAACATAGCCACAAATTTTGTTCTTTTATACTAAATTAATGTGTTGGTGCTATTCTTGTGTTTCCTAGAAGGGAAATGCCAGGTAATCCCAATGGTACCATCATTACAAAGATTTCAACAAAAGAGAAGTTAAGGAATCCAATACATAAATACAGTGTAAAATGGAATCATTCTGAACAGCACGTTGGAGTGAGGTAGAAATAACTTCTGGTGGTCTTCCTAGTCCCATTATTCACTAATGATAATTTCATGTCCTTCTGAAAGTGTACAGGCAAATTATGGTGTACTTGCAGGACCATTAAACACTGGATCTTGTGATGTTTTTAAATGTTTGTAACAGGATTTTTAAATAAGGGCTGCAGTGACTTCAGCCAAGGGCAAATATTAATCAATGACCTTTTATTGTTTTTATTTTATATACCTGGAGGAAAGGGCGTGCTTACCTCCCAGTATGCATACAAAGCCAAATATGCACGTTTACGTTAACTCGCTGCCTGCAGCTCTGAGGCCATTTGCTTTGTGATGGGAGGCAGAGCGATCTCTGACATTTTCATTATGCATCTGTCTGGCAGTTTGAAGCAGGAGAAATAATTCATGTGATTGCTAGTATCCTGTCTTGGCCATTAAAATGTATTTCCCTAATAAAAAAATTATCACCATATTTTATAAGGCATAGTCTGACATGTCTTCTTCTTTCTCCCCATCTCGTATCCTGGCATCATCGCTCCTGATTTCAATAGCCATGTGAGTGAACCAAGTAGCATTACTGCATCACAGTTAAAAGATCTCATTGATTACAGTGAAGCCACACTTAAACTTCCCTTCAGCCACTGTTCCCATGGCCACACTGGACCCTATCGCCACCTGAAGCTGCTGCACATCAGAAATCACAGTATGTTGTCCTTGACTTTATAAAGACCTCCCATTACCTGATCTCTCCTTTTTTTTTTTTTTTTTTAAAGAAGATGTTGGGGGTAGGAGTTTATTTATTTATTTATTTTTGCCGTGTTGGGTCTTCCTTTCTGTGCGAGGGCTTTCTCTAGTTGTGGCGAGCGGGGGCCACTCTTCATCGCGGTGCGCGGGCCTCTCACTGTCGCGGCCTCTCCCGTTGCGGAGCACAGGCTCCGGACGCGCAGGCCCAGCGGCCACGGCTCACAGGCCCAGCTGCTCTGCGGCATGTGGGATCCTCCCGGACCGGGGCACTAACCCGCGTCCCCTGCATCGGCAGGCGGACTCTCAACCACTGCGCCACCAGGGAAGCCCCTGATCTCTCCATTTTGTCCGGGCCTATCAGTGATCCTCTCCCATCTGCTCCATGTTTTTTCCTTTGCATAAGCTGGGCCATGCGTTCATCTGTATCAGTGATTGTGCTTATGGAGAAACAGAACCCCTACTAGGTGTTTCAAACAGATGAAATTTAATATTGGGAATCGGCTATCAAAGGGTTGGAAAGCCTAGAAGAGCGAAAAGAGGAAAATGTGAAGTTATCCAGAGATTAATAACTACAGGAAGCCATTCTCACTCTTACGGATGAAAGAGAAAAAAGGGAAAATGTATAACTAAGAGCCCACGACCCCTGTACTGCTGAGGCTGCTGATAACTTGCTGCCGATGCTTCTGGAATAGTGTTGCCAAGGAGAAAAGCAGGAATGTGGACGGAACCACCACCTGTGCTGCTGCCACTGTCACTGCCAGGGGCCCAGTAAGAAGCAGGGAAAGAAAAACCTCTATTTCTTCCACATCCCGTTATGAGAAGTTAGCTGCCAAGGGCATCTAGGAAATACAGGGGGGTTTTTTGTTTTTCTTTTGGCTGCCTTGGGTCTTCGTTGCTGTGCGCGGGCTTTCTCTAGTTGCGGCGCGCGGGGGCTACTCTTCGTTGAGTTACGCGGGCTTCTCATTGCGGTGGCTTCTCTTGTTGCAGAGCACAGGCCCTAGAGCGTGCAGGCTTCAGTAGTTGCAGCACGTGGGCTCAGTAGTTGTGGCTCATGGGCTCTAGAGCGCAGGTTCAGTGGTTGTGATGCATGGGCTTAGTTGTTCCACGGCATGGGGGATCTTCCCAGACCAGGGATTGAACCTGTGCCCCTTGAGTCGGCAGGAGGATTCTTAGCCACTGCGCCACCAGGGAAGTCCTGGAAATACAGTTTTGTCTGAACTATAGTGGAAAGCACAGACAGGCAAGCGTGGCGCTAAAAGCCAAAAGACAAATCCTACTCTTCAGCTGTTCAGCATTTATCCTCACCCTTGTACCCTTTATTTAACCTTGCAGTAACAATAATAGTATCATACAAATAACCCTAAAATAATTCAAGATGCTGTCACTCTCCCAAAAGAGGAGACACAAGGTCTCTTCAGTCATCATTTCTGTCTCTAGGTGATCTTAATTTATCTTCCACCTGGATTTTCTAAGAATAAAGGTAATCATCACCAACATTTCTTGTACAGAAGAAATGAGAGGGAAAACTAAAAATTGGTTAATATACGCAAATACAAAACAAAGGAAATATGCATGGCTGCTGTGGCCTTTGTTTCTATAATTTGTCACGAGGCTTTAATTTGTATTTACAATGTGCTTTTTTTTAGTCTCCTTCCATGTTCCCTTTGCCCTCAGCCAGCACCCTGGTTGTCTATGTTTCCTTCCCTGATGGCGTGCACCGAACCTTCATTCCTGAAGGCTTATTCCTCAGTGACCCTGCCTTTATTAGTGTGTAACCACTGCACATTAACTTTTACCCCTGGATATGGAACTATTAGCAAAGCAGAATTCCCTGGATTCCCAACCTAGTCCTTCCTGCCCTCGCTGTGCTCACCAATCTGGTCTCCCCTTGAAAACTGCAATCAATCCCCAGAGCCAGTGTAATAACCTACTTCTTTCTTCTTGGTTCAGTGGCACAAAGAGCCCCGAAAGACAGTCCCTCAACTTCCAGTTCAGTGAAACCATGGTTGTGTCCACAGGGATCATTTCTCACTTGAGATCCAGGACCTTTAAGTTAGCAGAGTTCTGAGTCTGGGACGAAGAGATGGGAAGCAAAAAAAAAAAAAACATGTGAGCAGGTATTTTTATTTTTCACAGCATCCTGGTCATTGAAAACTGGGGAAAAATTTAAATCATCAATAACTCTCTTAAAATATATAGTCAAATCAAATGTAATACTTTCAATAGGGTAGGTGAAAAGAATATTAGTTATTCTGTCATTTAATTTGGGTATGTTACTGTTAATTTAGTCTAAGGTTGTGCTGGGTGGAGATACATGCATGCACATATGCATGCATGTATGTGCTTGTCTGTGGTGTATGTGTGTGTGTGTCTCTCGAATTCATCACTTTATACGAGCTCTTACTGAGCTTGTGGCTCTACCAAGGTCTTGAGGTCTTTTTCACATAACCTGCTGATAGCACACCTCTCCTTCATCCTTTCCTTGTGTAATTGATTTTTATGAAATAAAACCCAGAGTATATTACATTTGCATTTTTATAACACTATCCAACCATTTTTAAATGACTTAATGTGCCTCGTGCTTCAGTGTCATCTTGTTTGTTTTGACTTATTGATCCCACCTTTTGAGCTTATCATGCTGCCTTTCAGCAGTCAGCTCCAGCCTCGCTAGCCTTCTTGCACGCCAAGCTCATCCCCATGCAGGACTTTCACACTCGCTGTTCCTCTGCCTGGAACTCTCTTCCCCAATAATTTCTCCCTCTGCTATTACTCTCTATCACCTTTTACACTGTATCCTTCAATTTATTTGTCAGTGCATGATATTATATATTTATTTGTTTATCATCAATCTTCTCTAGAATATAAAATCCATGAGGTCAAGGACTTTCACTTGTTCACCGATGGATCCCTGCCACACTTAGAAAATTTCCTGAAACATAACAGATGCTCCATAAACATTTTTTGAACACATGAACTAGCTAGTCTTTAAAGAAATTTTTAATTGAATTATGGTTGATTTACAATGTTGTGTTAGTTTCAGGTGTACAGCAAAGTGATTCGGTTATATATATATTTTTTCAGGTTCTTTTCCATTATAGTTTATTACAAGATATTGAATAGAGTTCCCTGTGCTATACAGTAGGACCTTGTTGTTTATCCTATATACAGTAGTCTATATCTGCTAATCCCATACCCCTAATTTATCCCTCTCCCCTTTCCCCTTTGGTAATCATAAGTTTGTTTTCTATGTCTGTGAGTCTGTTTTTGTTTTGTAAATAAATTCATTTGTATTATTTTTTAGATTCCACATATAAGTGATATCATAATATTTTCTTAAAATTTTTAATTTTATTATCCAACCTTTAAGTTCTGTTCAGACTTGTATCATTGGCCGGTTTGATGAGATTGCTTTCTCTATCCACAAAATTGTTGATAAAAAGTGCTCTACAGGATAAGGCCAGTTTCAGAACCATGTGGCACTCCACAGAGTACTTTCTTTGAGGTTAATGTCTTTCCAATAATTTTTAAAAATTAGGAATAAATTCAACGAACTCTGATTTCATCTCATTTTCCAAATACTTCTCTATCTTGAATGCAAGATATGATCCAAGTTCTTTAAGTAGTGCAAGAGGGACTTCACAAACTGGTCCCAAACAATTTTTCCGTCATTTATATCCCATCACTACCTGCTTCCTGCCTCCTGTCCATAGACTTTGTATCTTTCATTCTAGTCCCACTAAACTTGTTATGATTCCTGAAGCATACCACGTCCCTTCTCATCTCCATGCCTTAGCACATGCAGTTCCAGCTATCTGGAATACCCTCCTCTCCCATCCCCACCTTCAGCTAGGTCCATCCTTATACACCATCCACGACCTAGCATAAATATCACTTTCTCCATGAATCCTTCCCAAACTTCCCTGGGTGATTAATCACCCACTCCTCTGTTCTCCCTCAGTAATTTAGAGGTTTGTCCACTGCTGCATTTTGCTTATTGTTTGTAATCTTTACCATATTATTTATGTCTCTTTTCAGTGTTAAGATGCTGACCTCCTCCAGGTATGAAGTTAGATACTGATGGATATCTACTGAATAAATGAAAAACATAATGAAATATTTAGTTCATTTCTTGTTACAGCTTTAAAAAAGCAGGTCGTGCCCAGTAGGACTGGCTTCCATCAAGGATGGCATTGACATTGGTGAGTTTTTGGGATCCATCTTAGCCTTGCCATCTCAGAGACCTGAATTCCTCAGTCTGTTTGGAATGGACTTACTCTCAGTGGCAGAGCTGCATTGATCAGGTTCATGGAGGTTTATAAAAATCAGCATACTAATTCTCTACTTTCTAATGAAAAAATATAACTGTCCAGAGAACTGAAATACTCCAGTCAACCTATTAGTGCATTGTCCCCCTGGAGGCAAGTTATATTTGAAGCAATATGATATGGCCCAGGGGAATTCATTGATCTTAAGTATTCCTCAATGAAGGAAGCTTGAGACTGTCTCATGCACTAGAGAAGTAGTCTCTCCAAGGAAACTTGGTGCTTAACCAAGACTGCCACGCCTGGGCAGGGCCTGGGTGATCACCTTCAACATGTCTGCTAACTCTCCATTTCCTGTGCAGCTTTGGTCAACCCACATCTCTTGGCCCAAGACAGGACTTAAAGAAATTTCACTAAATGTCTGGTGACAAAGTTACGTTTGTATCTGAGTTCCCATTCTTCCCATTTATATAATCATGGACGCTCTCCTGGTTTGTTCATATTTACTGTGTATAGGTTTAACTAACTTAACTCCAAGGACAACTATATTTCCACCTCATTGCCAACCCTGTTTGATGACAACAAGACCTAAAAGGGTTGAGTGGCTAATCAAGGTCTTAGAACTTCTCAGTGGAAGAGGCAGAAATTCATCCCTGGTCTTGTTGCTCTAATCTGGTATGCTTTCTATTATTATTTTCATGTGGAAATCCCTTATAATTATTCAAGAAGGACTAGTTCTTAGCCTTTTTTACCTGATTAAACACATGTTTTTTCAAAAGGCTTAAAAACTTTGGCACATTGTTGGCACATGTATGAATCTATCCTATGGA